ATAAATATCTCTATGTAAGAGAAAGGGTTACGTTCATTTAATAACTTAATATAATACCTCACGGCATGAACTGACGACAACGATGTAACGCCGGTTAATAATTCAAGAGATGGTAAGGTTTGAGGGGGATCATCCAATTAAATGACATGTTCCACTGCTAGGGACTACAACCGTCTAATGTCTTGTATTTCACCCTTGCGAGCGTACTAGTCAGGCGGAGTACTATTGATTTTCACTTTTCTAATATTGTACTCATAGTTTACTGCTACGACTAAATGGGTATCGAATCCATGTCGCTACCGTAGCCTTCATCTCACAACGTCAATAAATCTAAGTAATCTCTTTGTAGTCATAATGTTTTCGAAGAATTTTATCTCTATAACTTTATTTCTTATTACCCTTAATTTATTCTATAAATACATCATTTATAAATCTTATAGATTTTATGATTTCTTTACGTTCTACAGATACTTTAAGCCATTTTGAACAATGCTAGCCCTCCATGTCTAACCGCAGCTGCTGGCACATGTTTTAGTTAGGACTCTTTCGTAATGTATATCATTATTATAATTACTTAGAAGTTTATAGTATATACCTATGTTTTAATTATTATATATATTTTATACCACCGAAGTGATATAAAAATTATATATATAAAGTTAACAAAAGTTAACTTTATATAAAATTCCTTCTCGTAGATAGCTTGATCAGTCGTGAGACCATTGTCAAAGATTCCCCACTGCTGCTCTTAATAAGAGTTGATATATATCAATGTGGCCGTTGAGACGATAATCGCCGGCTCCAGTTCGATGGCTAGATTTCTCTAATACCTACATCTGAATAAGATATACCTTTTAGAGGTATATTCTTATATCACTCACCTTAACGCATATATATATATTTTCGAAAAAATATATATTTATACTTGCATGTGTTATGCTTCTACATAGCATTTGATCTGAACCAACATCATGTTCTCAAATATTTTTTATTTAAATTGAATTACTCAGAATTGAACTGAGATACATCCATTATGAGTGGACTGCTCTACCATTGAGCTATAATTCATTTTCTTTAAAAATGGATACCCCACTTTTAGTGGGCTATTCATTATATTAAATGATGAATCACCGAGCTCTGCTCGGTCATAAATATTGTGCAGTAGACAGATTCGAACTATCATGATAAAGTCATGAGCTTTATATGTTACCATTACATTATACTGCTTACCTATGGCATAGTAAGAATCGAACTTACATTTTATCATCCGTAATAATATACACTAACCATTGTGTTATATGCCAACGGATAGCCAGCGAATCGAACGCTGAGAGCACTTAGGCTGCTACGTAGCAAGTAGGGCGGCTTACCAATGCCTAGCTATCCTTCGCATCGCATCAGACTCGAACTGACATCTCTTATAGTGACATTATAAGGCTTTACCATTAAGCTACCAATGCTCTGAGTCGATATGATTTGAACATATATACTCCTAGCTCAAACCTAGGTGACTTGCCAATTAGTCTACGACTCATTTTATTTATTCTTATAAATAACTTATTATTAATCATAATACACCTTTGGTGTATTATCATTGATCTTACCTATATATCCTATATTATATATAATATATATATATATATCTCATATAAAATTATTATTATATAAATAATATATATGAACCCTTTTATATAGGTTCATATTCTATAATAAATACCCTACCCTAAAAAGAGGGGTATACCGAACCTTTGGTTAGGCAGAAAATGAATAAATAAATAAATTTATATCAATAGTAATTATCGATATTTAAAACCTTTGGTTTAGTATTTATGATCCTCATCAATAAACAATTATGTATATAAATAATCATAAAACATCTAATACATGTAAGTATAAAACAGTAGTTTCTGCAAATACATGTGAAACATTAGTGAAATCATAATTATAAACTCTTCAAGTACAAACACCTAACATTATAGCTAACATTATCATGTGTATACCATGTAAACCAGTTAATGAGAAGAAAGTTGAACCATAAACTCCATCAGATATAGTAAATGGTGCAAATATGTACTCTAATCCTTGTAATATAACAAATAAAACAATTAAGAAAGTAGTAAATATGAAACCATATAAAGTATCTTTTCTATTACCATTAATTAAAGCATGGTGTCCCATTGTTATAGTAACTCCAGAAGCTAATAATATAATAGTATTTAATAAAGGTAACTCACTAGGTGATATAGGCTCTATACCAGCAGGAGGTCAAGCCATACCTATTTCCATAGTAGGGTTTAAAGAAGAGTGTAAATATGCTCAGAATAAAGAAGCAAATATTAATATTTCACTTAATACAAATAAGTAGAAACCTTGAGTTATACCAGCTTTAACAGCTTTAGTGTGATCTCCTAAATAAGTACTTTCAGCAACAACATCTTTAAATCATAATGTCATAGAGTATAAAACATTAAATAAAGCTAATAATATATAAGTGTTATTACTTATATATCCATGAGCTGTTAAACCTATAGATAAAGCTAAATTCATTAAACAGAATGAAGTGAATAATGGTCATGGTGAAGGACCAACTAAATGGAAAGGGTGTAATTGTATATAACCTCTTACAGAATTAGTCATTTTAATTAATTAATTTAAATATTCTTTTATAAAATTTATTTAATAATGAGTTAGATTGGAATCGAACCAATATGGATTGCTTAAAAGGCAATAGTCTTAACCATTAGACGACTAACTCTTTTGCCTTCGGAAAGAATTGAACTTTCATCAGTCGCGCTTCAAGCGAACGCTCTACCATTTAAGCTACAAAGGCTTATCAAATATTAATCATTAGTAAATATACTATCCTTATCTAAAGGGTTATATTTAATCTAAGATTTATGCCCATAATTACTGTGGACTTTATATTTTGATATTGTTATTCAAGAGCAAGTAGAATCGAACTACTATAACATGTGTTGAAGACACGGACTTTACCATTAAGCTATACTCTTATTTTCTGAAATTTTCAGATCATTAGGCTATATAGGATTCGAACCTATGGCTCAGCTGTGTAAAAACTGCGATTTCACCCCTAATCGAATAGCCTCTTCTATTTATTACTTGTCTGCCTTTTGGACAGGTAAGTATTTCTGTTAAAGATAGGTATACTTTATTTTTATTTATCTTTCCTATAATAAAATGAATAGTCCACCGAAGATGGTGTATACTTTTTATTTAAAAATGAATAGCCGCCCAAAGGGCGGGTATCCATTTTCTTTGAAAATGAATAGCCGAGCAGAGCTCGGGTATCCATTTTCCATAAAGGGAAAATGAATATATATATATATATTATTAACTATTTATATTCTTCCCACCTTAAAGGTGGGCATATATAAAACTTAAAGTTAAATAAAAATATACTTAAGAAAGGATATATAATTCTTTTCTAAAGTAAGTTAATAATAAAGTAATGCTAATTTTTATAGGATATAGATTAAATAAATATTTGTGCATCTATTAAATAGATTAATGCAGGTATAAATAAAGCTAAAGCGAATAATAAAGGTAAGAATATAACTCAACACATATTAATTAATTTATCATATCTAACTCTAGGTAATGTAGCTCTAACTCAAATATAAGTAAAGGCAAATATACAAGCTTTAATACCTAAAATTACACCAGTACCTCCACCAAAGAATAAAATAGAAGTTAAAGTAGATAAGAATAAAATAGAAGCATACTCAGATAAGAAGAATAAAACAAAAATAGAAGAAGAGTATTCTGTCATATGACCTGAAACTAACTCAGATTCAGCTTCAACATTATCAAAAGGAGGTCTAGCACATTCAGCAACACAACCTATAAATCAAATTATAGATATAGGTAATAAAGGTATAAATATTCATATAGATTGTTGTAATTCAACATATCTAGATAAATTCATAGTACCTGCTAATAATATACATAATAAAACAATAGTAGTTAAAACTAATTCATAACTAATTAATTGAGCAGTAGAACGTATAGAACCTAATAAAGAATATTTACTATTAGCTGATCAACCAGCTAATAAAGTACCAAATACACCTACACTACTTATAGCTAAAGTTAATATAAATCCATAATTATGATCAGATATAGTAATACCAGGACCAAAAGGTATAACTGCTCAACATAATAAAGCTGAGATTAAAGAGATTATAGGACTTATAAATAATATTAATCTATCTGCATGAGTAGGTACAACTATTTCTTTTAATAATAATTTAGCTGCATCAGCAATAGCCATTAAAATACCATAATAACCTACTGCATTAGGACCTACTCTACGTTGCATATAACCTAAAGTTTTACGTTCAGCTACAGTTAAAAATGCTACAGCTAATAATATAGATAAAAATAATATTAATAATTCTGCAAAGTTTAACATTATTTAGTAATAGCTATTGCCCCTATAACAGATAAGATTAAGATTAAACCTGTAACTAATAATAATATAGCATATTCAGTATACATCTGATTTCCTACTACTACTAATTCATTTCATACATCTTCTATTTCTATAATAATACCATAAGTTTCATAAGATAAATCTAATGGTATTAAACTTATTGATAATAAAGTTATTACTAAAGGAGATATTTTACCTTGTGGAGTATAATCTATTTTTAATAATGATAATATAAATAAGAATAATATTGCTATTGCTCCTACATATATTAATATATATAATATACCCATTAATACAAATCCTTGACTATATAAACATATAGCTGTACTTATAAATAATATTATTAATCATAATATACTTTGTACAGGTGATAATAATCCTATAGCTAATAAACTTGATAAACCACTAATTAAATTCATTTTTTTAATTATTTAATTTTATTTTAACTATTTAACTTCCTTGAAAGGTCATATATATCTTATATAGATATACCATACTTTTTATATGACATATATAAAATAGTTTAAGATTATTTACATATAAACGTTTAAATTTGGAATTGAACCAAAATCGATGTATTAACAGTACACTGCTTTACCATTAAGCTATATAAACTTATACTATACTTAAATATCCCTTTTAAGTATATATACTTACCTATATATAAAATCTAATATTTTATATATAAATACCCGAAGCTATACTACGGAATTTACATCCTTAAAGATGTAAATTATTATTAAATATATTACCACCCAAAGGATGGTAAATCTCTTTTCTTTTAAAATGAATAGCCGCCCCAAGGGCGGGTATCCATTTCCCCTAAAGGAAAAATGAATATATATATATATAAATATTTATATATAAAGATTAAATAAAACTTATTCAGCTTCAGATAATCATTCTACAAAATCAGCGATAGGAACACACTCAACTTTAATAGGCATTAAAGCATGGTTAACTCCACATAACTCACTACATTGACCATAATAAACTCCAGTTCTTTGTATTAAAGCACTAACTTGGTTTAAACGACCAGGAGTAGCATCTATTTTAATACCTAATGAAGGAACAGTAAATGAGTGTAAAACATCATTAGCAGTAACAATAAATCTAACATGAGTATCAACAGGAACAACAATAGAAGTATCAGTATCTAATAATCTTAATTGACCTTCTTCTAACATGTCATCAGGGATGATATATGACTCAAATTCAATAGTTTCACCAGTTTCTGAAACAAAATCTGAGTACTCATATTTTCAATATCATTGTAAACCAACTACTTTAATAGTCATAGCAGGTGTTAAAACTTCATCACATAAGTATAATAATATAAAACTAGGGAATGCTATTAATAATAATATAACAGCAGGGAATATAGTTCATATTATTTCTAATGTTTGTCCATGTCTTAAGTATTTATATGCAAATTTGTTATCTTTAAAATCTTTAATTATAACATATAATATATATGAAACTAAACCTAATATTAAAGCTAAATAGAACATTATATGATCATATAACTCATGTATACCTTCTTGGTTAGGAGTAGCTGCATCTTGTAAACGAACACCTCATGGTGTAGGTACATCTAATCAAATCATTCTCATTTTTTTTAATAAATAAAATATAATTATTATAAATACAAATAAAATTATGGAATCAATCGGAATTGAACCGATATTGTTCGCATGCAAAGCGAAAGATTTACCAATTAATCTATGATCCCTTTATATATATTGTAGGTATATGAATAACAATAAAAACACTTAAAGTGTATTTATTATAATAATTAGTTATATATATATATAAATATACAATTACTATTACATATTAGTCTAATATGTTTAATCTTATCTGAAGGGCTTAATATTTGAGATGCTTTCAATATTTATCCGCAACCTTCTTAGCTAAAATGTACTATATAAATAATACAAAAAACCATTGGAAAGCACCTCACTATCCTTTCGTACACTTGAGGCAACAGATAAGAAATTCCCATAGATGATAAAATCATTACTGACTCACGTCGTAATTAACCCATCTCAAGTAACTCCTTAGAGGACGAACAGTCCTACCCTACCTAGTTGCTGCGACCAGGAGGACGAGTCTAGACGACATCGAGGTGGCAAACACCGCTGACGATATCAACTCTCACGCGGTATTACCCTGTTATCCCTAGCGTAACTTTAATCCGTTATCGACATCCATATCAATTGATTATGCCTGTTCACTATACTCTACGTATGTACTAATTCCACTTGTTAGTGTTATTATCATCGCACAATTATGTTATTATCCTTGCATATAATTTAATACCCCTAAAAGGGGTATTCTTCTCTATTTACCATATAGTTCTATTGTACGTAATTTACTATTATATAATAAATTTAATATAATAATGATATAAAAATATATAAAAATATAAATATATTTATTATTAGACACATCAGATGCTTTCGCTGATGTCGACGCCCCATCGAAACTAACTTCTTTTCTCTGTCTTCAGGATATATTTACGATGTAAATATAAGTATAAATTAGATTCTAGAATTATATATATAGGTATCTCATTTTATTTAAAACTCAATATAAATCTTTAAAAAAGAAATATAAAGTACATAAATTTAACCTAATCTACTGAAATAAATAATATTTAAATCAAAAAAAAGATATAGTAAAGCTGCATAGGGTCTTTTTGTCAACCTACGGGTACACGGCATCTTCACCGCGAGTGCTATTTCACTGAGTCTACTATGGATACAGTTGTCGCATCGTGTAATCATTCATGCAGGACACCAATTATGCGTCAATGAATTTCGCTACCTTCGGATCCTCACAATAAGACCGCCGTTAACATGCCTTTTATAATTTAACCATATAGCAAAATTATTTATTAAGCATACACCGGGCAGATATCACTTACTATACTTACTATTACTAGTATGCAGTAAGCTGTGTTTTTGGTAAACAGTCGCACGACTAAAAGCTTTGTGCTAATTTGCCGAGTTCATTCATAGTAGTTATCTCATTCTCCTTTATCATACCTGTGTCGGTCTACAGTACGGTTCTTCCTTCTTTTCTTGTTCTATCACCCATCAATTATATATTTCTATACTTCTCTTAGGGACCGTTCATTTATAGTAAAACCTTATGAATTAGGAGGGTAATCTTATATTACCTATCGTTACTCAAGCCAGCAATCTCTTTATAATTTTTCATTATATATTCTGCTACCATATATATATATTTAATATATATATATCTATTATTCTGTTATATATTTAGACCCGTATATTTTCTCTATATATAAGAAATATCTAAAAAGATATATATCATATCAGTGCATTGTTACATGTCCATTAACAGATGATTATTGTCAAACCCGCTGACTGATTGTCTATCATTTATGATATAGATTTAGTTCACTTAATATATATAAGGGACATACATTAAATAGTCTAGGTTGTTTCCTTTTCGACCTACTACCTTATCGCAATAAGTCTGACTCTTTATTATACGATATACTGATTCCGAGTTTTAAATATTTTGATAAAGTTATATTCTAACCCCCCAAAGTTATTTAAGTGCTGTACCAGTTTATGATTTAATAAAGGCTATACTAAAATATATTTCGCAGAAAACCAGCTATCGGCAAACCAGATTTGTCTGTCACAACTACACACATCTCTTTAGAGAATATTGCTACATCCACCTATTCAGCCATATAAATGATATTTTTATATCATAAATACACTTGGACATGTGTAGATCGTTTGCTTTCGGGCCTATATACATTAATTATAGATTGATTAAACTCAATTTATTTATAAATTACTTCACTAATATATATAACTCACTGGCCCATTATACAAGAGGTACGTTATACTATAACTGCTCTCTATTATTCTATTTACTCCTTTTCCCTTACGGTACTTTTAGTTTAATATTTATTCCTTGTCTTAGTAGTTGATACTACTTTATTCTCACCTCTTGGTGATACTTTTAGACTACAATATTTTCACTCACCGTTACTTATATTGCCCCTGTTGGTTACTTTCAAGTTACTCAGATGTTTCATTCCACTTGATTTCTCTTTACTCATTTTCATGATATGATTGGCTCTCACCTTTTTATCACTTTTAAATATTAACTTTAGATCCTTAAAATAATATTTATTTCATATACCTTTTTTCAATATATCACCTATATATATTCTTATATATTACTCTTAAAGGTATCTTTTTTATTTTAAAATGAATAAACCACTGAAGGTTGGGTATCCTTTTACCCTAAAGGAAAAATGAATATATGTTTTTCTTTTAATAAATATTTGCTTATCTTTTGAGTGATAATATAAAAATTATTATAAGAATAATATAATTAAATTAATTAATAATATAACAGGTATATGTATTAATAATCTACTTATACCAGTACTACCTAATACTTTAAGTAAACCATTATCAGTATATACATTTAAGTAACCACCAAATTTTAATACTGGTCTTATTATTAAGTTATTTAATAATTGATCGTAATAAATACGTTGGTTAAAGTAATTATATATACTTGATTTATTAATTTTATAAATAAATTCGTATGTATATATTAATAATAATGATAATGAAATACCTAATATCATAGGTAATCATTTAAATAATGTAGGTATTGTAAATTCTGTTTCTATAAATGTATTAGTATGAGGTAATCCTAAATTTAAATGGAAAACTACATTATCTCTATAATAACCTAAGAATATACTATATAATGCTAATACTGTCATAGGTATAATCATATGATTACTTTCATGTACAAAACTATAAGTATATTTATTACCTCTTGGATTATTATAGAAAGTTAAATATAATACTCTTAAAGAATATATAGCTGTTAATGTAGCTGATGCTGTTGCTATATAATACATTATATAACCACTAACAGTATAAGTACCATATAATGATTCTATTATAATATCTTTTGAATAATAACCTGTTAAACCTGGTATAGCCATTAAAGATAATGAAGCTATTACCATAGATGTATAACTATAAGGTAAATATTCTATTAAACCTCCATATTTACGCATATCTTGTGTTTCAGACATATAACTGTGTATTATAGAACCTGCTGACATAAATAATAAAGCTTTAAAGAAAGCATGACAATATAAGTGATATATTGCTAAATCATAAGCACTAGAACCTATAGCTAACATCATCATAGCTAATTGACTCATTGTAGATAAAGCTATAACTCTTTTTATATCATTAGTTACTACTGCTATTAAACCACTTATTAATGTAGTAAATCCACCTAATCATAATATTACTAATAATATAGAAGGTGTATATTCTAATATATAAGAAGATCTTACTAATACAAATACTCCACTACAAACCATTGTTGCAGCGTGTAATAAAGCACTTACAGGTGTTGGACCTTCCATAGCTGATAATAATCAACCATGTAAACCTAATTGTGCTGATTTAGCTGTTGCTGCTACTAATAACATTATAGCCATTAAATTTAATATTAATGTATCTGTATGTGGTGTTAATAATTCTATAGTATCAAAATCTACTGCATGGAATAATGATAACATAGTACCTATACATATTACAAATAATGTATCTCCCATACGGTTTAATAATATTGCTGATAAAGCTGATTTCATTGCAGCTATACGTGTATTTCAGAATGATATTAATAAGTAAGATATAACTCCTACAAATTCTCATCCTATAAACATCATAACATAGTTATCACTAACTACTAAAACTGTCATAAATATAGCAAATACACTAAGTATTATATAGAAACGATTACGATTAGGATCATATCTCATATAATCTATAGCATAAAATAATACAGCTAAAGTTACTATTCCTACTGGTACCATAACTACCATAGATAATGAATCTAATAATAAACCATAATTTATTTGAATATCTCCTAAAGAGATTCATGTACCTAAGTTTATATAAACTGTTTCTTCATAAATATAAGTTAATCAATTAAACATTTATTTATAAAATACTTGTTACTTTCCCTCTTAATCTATAGTAAGATACTAATAAGCTTAAACCTATTGCTGATTCAGCTCCTGCTAATATTATTATAAATAATGCAAATATTGTACCTTCTATATCATTAAATATACTTCCTACATATATTATTTTTACAGTAACAGTTAATAATAATATTTCTATTGCTATTAATAATGTTATTATATTATTTTGACTTACATAAAATGTAAGTAATGTTGTTATCATTGCTAACATTTTTTTTTTATTTTAATTTTATTTGTACCTCTTATTATTTTAATAATATTAATTTTTATATCTTAAAAAAATGAATAATCGAGCAAAGTTTGGATATATTTTAGGGAAAATGAAAAGCCACCGAAGGTGGGGTATCTATTTTATAAAGGAGAAAATGAATAGCCGAGCAGAGCTCGGGTATCCATTTTTCATAAAAATGAATATATATAATAAAAGAGAATATAATTATATTCCTTGAATCATGGAATCTGGGTATTAATATAATTTATTAATTAAAGGTTTAGCTGAAGAAGTATAACGTCTTTCTAAGTTTAAAGCACCTAAATTTATTTCATAAACAAAAGCAATAACTAAAGATAATAAGAAAATAACTAAAATAGTTAAACCATAAATACCATTAGTATAAGCACTAACAACATAAGGTAAAATAGAAGAAATTTCTAAATCAAAAGGTAAGAATAAAATAGCAACTAAAATGAAAGCAACACTAAATGCAGATCTAGATTGTTGATATGAAGTAAATCCACATTCAAAAGGTCCATCTTTTTCTATATATGAGTTTTCAGTTGAAATTAAATAATTTAATATAATTAATACACAAGCTACAATAGGAGCTAAATATAAATAGAATGTAAACATTTTATATTGTTATTAAATATAACCCCTCTGATATTGATGGTAAGAAAATAAAGAAACTTAATAATAATATTGTAGCAGTAGCTAAAGTATAAGCTAATGAAGGGTTAATATTATTAACATTAATATTTTCTTTAATAGTTCTACTATTAATTAATATTTTAATTATATTTGCATAATAATATGTAGCTATAACACTACATACAACTAATAAACATGTTTCAAATACATAATTATCTTGTAATGCACCTGATAATATATATAATTTAGCATAAAATCCTGGTAAAGGTGGTATACCTATTAAAGAGAATAATGCTAATATTAAACAAATAGCTAATGATAAATTAGGTAATTTTAATTGATGTATATATATTAATGGAGATCATGTAGATATAGGTGTATTAATATATTGACTAGCTGCTAATATACCTAAGAATAATATAATATGAGTTAAAACATATTGTATTATATAGATATAGAAAGAAATATCAAATGATATTATAGATAATAAAATATAACCAAAATTTAATAAACCACTATAAGCTAATATAGTTTTTAAATTAACTTGGAATAATGGTTTATATGCAGCTATTAATAATGATAAATAGAATGAAATTATTAATATATGATGGTTAAATAAATTAGCATTAGCAAATATTCAAGAAGCTATAGATATTTTAGCAACAACACTTATATAAGCAGTTATATAAGTAGGAGCATAATTATATACTGCAATACTTCAACGATGTAAAGGAGCCATACCCATTTTAAATAATAAAGCTATTAATAAAATATCAAAATAATCAAAAGCATTACTATATGAATAGAATATAGCTATATCTGATAAATTAGTTGAACCTGTTAAAGCATATATGAAATAAGTAGCTAATAAAATTATAGCAGAAGCAACTCCTCCCATTAAGAAGTATAATAATGAAGCTCTTGAAGCATTATAAGATCTATTATGTAAACCTGTTAATAAATATAATGAATAACTTTGTAATTCTACTATTATGTATAAAGCTAATAAATCATTTACTAATGGGAATAATAATAAACCTATTATATTACTAATTAATATTAATATATAAAAAGGTGATTTTAAATCATATTTATTTACTGATGTATTATATATTAATAAAGCTATTACTAATAATAATATTAATATAATTAAAGGTAAATTATATGATGTAAAATTAAATCAACCATTAAATATTGTTACTCCAGGTGTTAAACCTATAACATCTATAGATGTTATTAATAATATTAATGTAAATACAATACTTATTGTACCTAATCTATTAATTATTATTGAATGTCCTTCTATAGGACTTATGCTACCCTCTACTTTAGGATAACTTACAAAAGTTGAAAATACTAAAAATATTAAAAATGATGTAAATAGCATCTCCTATTTATTTAAAAAATGGTTAAATACTTACCTTATTATATATTTATATATCAAATATTTGATCTTATATATTGGTAGTTTGGAATTTTAAAATGAATAAATTATGACCCCTCAAAGAGGGGTCATGATTCATCCCCCCTTAGGGGGGGGATAAATTCCTAATCTTTATTAGAGTATAGGAATACTCACTGGCAATCAGTGAGCATTTAAATAGATAATATTATCTATACTTTTAGTATAGATATCAATAAATAACTATATATAATAAATAGTTAATTTCCGGCCCTTTTACAAAAGCTGGGGATTATTGATGTATATGAGATATATACTTATCTTTTTTAAGATAGTATATCTCCAATAAAGTTAAATACATTATTGATCTGATGGTGATGTTAATACAGGTAATTCACTGAATGTGTGATACTCTGCAGGTCTAGTTAAGATTAATTCTAAATCAGAATCTCTTACATCTCTAGTTAAGTTAGACTCAACAAAATCTGGAGTAACTTGGATTTCTGCTTCTTCGTTTTCTCCATTTTCTAATTGAATTTGAACACTTTTTAATCCTACTAATACTGATATTATAGATATCATTGAACCTATACTACTTATATAGTTTCAACCTATAAATGCATCAGGATATTGAGGTATACGACGTGGCATACCATTTAAACCTAAGAAGTGCATTGGTAAGAATATTACATTAACTGATATGAATAATAATCAGAAGTGTATTTCTGCTCAAACTTTATTATATCTTAATCCAAACATTGATGGACCTCAATAGTAGTAACCTCCTACTAAACTAAATAAAGCTCCCATTGATAATACATAGTGGAAGTGACCAACTACATAATAAGTATCATGGAATGCAACATCTATTGATGCATTAGATAACATAACTCCTGTTAATCCTCCTATAGTGAATAAGAATAAGAATCCTAAAGCAAATAACATAGGTACTGCTAATCTTACTTCTCCTCCATAAATAGTTGCTAATCATGAGAATATTTTAATACCTGTAGGTACTGCAATAACCATAGTAGCAGATGTGAAGTAAGCTCTTGAATCAATATCTAATCCTACTACATACATGTGGTGACTTCATACTAAGAAACCTAATAAACCAATAGATCCCATAGCATATAACATACCTATTTCTCCAAATATAGGTTTTTTACTATATGTAGAAACAATATGTGATATTATTCCAAATCCAGGTATAATTATAATGTATACCTCTGGGTGTCCAAAGAATCAGAATAAGTGTTGGTATAATACTGGGTCTCCTCCAGCTGCTACTTCGTAGAAACCTGTGTTAAAGTTTCTATCCATTAATAATAAAGTAACACCAGCTGTTAATACAGGTAATGATAATAATAATAATATAGCAGTAAAGAATATAGCTCATACAAATAAAGGTGCATTTACCATGTGTAAACCTATAGTACGCATATTTAATACTGTAACTATAAAGTTTATAGCTCCTAATAAACTAGATATACTTGTTAAGTGTAAAGCAAATATAGCTAAATCTACACTAGGTCCTGAGTGAGCATTTATTGATGATAAAGGTGGATAAACAGTTCATCCTGTACCTGCTCCTTGCTCTGTTAATACAGATGCAATTATACATACTAATGCAGGTGGTAAACATCAGAAACTTATATTGTTTAATCTAGCAAAGGCCATATCTACTGCTCCTATCATAATTGGTAAATAGAAATTTCCAAAAGCTCCTATTAATACAGGCATTACAAATAAGAATATCATAGCTATAGCATGTCCTGTTACTAATACGTTGAAAACTTGGTTGTTTCCATTTAAGAATTGTGGGTTAGGTCCAGATAACTCTAAACGTATTATTACAGACATTCCTGTTGCTACCATTGAAGCAATTAAACCATAAGCTAAATATAATATGGCTATATCTTTATGAGATGTACTATACAATCAACGAGTTACATAACTCATTTGTTTCATATAATATTTTATTGTTTTTATAATTTTACTAATCTTTACCTTTTTTTTTTCTTTACTTATCTATTATATATAGATATATATATAAATATATTTTCTTTATAAAAAACTTTATTTAAAATTTAATACCTAAACAAAGAATAAGTATTATTTATATAATACAGTAAAATGAATAGCTGTCCAATGGACGGGTTTATATTTTTTATTTAAAATGAATATATAGTAATTTTAAATTTAAAATTAATATTTTTAAAATATATAATTATCAATACAGATAGTTTATACTTATATTCTAATAAAAATAGATCTCTTCGGGATGAATCATAACTTTTAGTTATAATTTATTTACTTCCTATATAGAATAAGATATTTTCTATAGTTGAGATAACAGGAACAAATATGATAAAGTAACAGAAGTAATAAGCTGTAGCAAATTGTCCTAATTGGATATAAGGTACTTCAACATGTAATTGTCCTAAGTTACCTAATAATAAGAAGTTAAATACAAATAAATAGAATGAGAATTTAGATATAACTTTAAATGTATTACCTCTTATAACTGATCTATCAGTTATAGGTAATATTAATAATATTAATAAAGCTGCAAACATAGCTATAACTCCACCTAATTTATCAGGTATTGATCTTAATATAGCGTAGAATGGTAATAAATATCATTCTGGTACAATAGATGCTGGTGTAACCATAGGGTTACCTGGTATATAGTTATCTGAGTGTCCTAATGTATTAGGTGAGAAGAATACAAATAAACTGAATATTAATATAAATACAAATACAGTAATTAAATCTTTAAATATAAAGTAACTATGCATAGGTATTCTATCCATGTTACCTGATATTCCTACAGGGTTAGATGAACCATGAGTATGTAATGCAATAAAGTGCATTACTACTAATGCAGCTAAGATGAAAGGTAATAAATAGTGTAAAGCAAAGAATCTTTGTATAGTAGGGTTTGAAACAGAGAAACCTCCTCATATAAATGGAACGATATCTCCTCCTATAAATGGTATAGCTGATAATAAGTTAGTTATAACTGTAGCTCCTCAGTGAGACATTTGTCCATATACTAAACAATAACCCATAAAGGCTGTAGCTATTGTTAATATAAATATTATAACTCCTATTGATCATACTAATACTCTAGGTGTTTTATAACTACCATAATATAATGCTTTAGCTATGTGTAAATATAAACATATAAAGAAGAATGAAGCTCCATTAGCATGTATATATCTTATTAATCATCCAGCGTTAACATCTCTCATAATATGCTCAACAGCATCAAAAGCTAATTCGATGTGTGAACTATAGTGCATAGCTAAAAATATACCACTTGCAATTTGTATAACTAAACATAAACCTAATAAACTTCCTAAATTTCATCAATAATTTATTGAACTAGGTTGTGGACTATCTATTAAATAACTATTAGCTAATGATAAATAAGGATTACTTTTTCTTATTGCCATTTTATTTATTTTATAATTTTAATTTTACTTTATATTTTACTTATTTTATTGATCTTTTTATTATATATATAGGAATAACCAAGAATTACTTGAGTATCCCTTTTCTATAAAGGGAAAATGAATACCCGCCCTTCGGGCGGGTATCAATTTTTAATTAAAATGAATATATCATAATATAAATATGTCTCCTAAAAAAGAAGATATATAATAACTTAAAAGGTTTTTATATATAAATATTTATATTAAAATTAAACTGCGTATAATAATAAGAATGATATCATTAAACAGAATAATCCACAAGCCTCTGCTAAGGCGAATCCTAATATAGCTTGAGGGAATAATGTAGCACGTAATGAAGGGTTACGTGAAGTACCGTTTATTAAGGCTACGAAAACTAAAGCGATACCTATCGCTGCTCCTCCTAATCCTAAAGTAGCTATTGCTGCTCCTATGTATTTTGCTGCTAATACTAATTGCATTTTTTTTATATAAATCATACCTTTGATTACTTTTCTTCTACTATCTATTTTCTGTCTCATCGGGATTCGAACCCAAATAATTACTTTAGAAGAGTAATGTTCTAACCATTAAACTATAAGACATTTACACCTAATTATAAATTTATTCTACCTAATTTATCCCCCCCCTAAGGGGGGATGAATCATGACCCCTCAAAGAGGGGTCATAATTTATCCCCCTTATTGTAATGTGTTTATTTATAAAATAAATAACTGCTTAAAAGGCAGGTATCCATTTTATTTAAAAATGAATAGCCCACCGAAGGTGGGGTATCCATTTTCTTTGAAAATGAATATATATAATAAGTTTGATGCTTCTCATAACATATCTAAAGCTGAAGCAGGTAATATACCTAAGAAAATAGTAGGTACAATTAATGCTCACATTAAGAAAGATTCTCTATAAGTACAATCAGCAGTTAATGAAACATAAGGTGTTTTAACACCTCCTGTTAATCTATTAGTTAATTTCATTTGATATGAAGCAGATAATAAAACAGATATAGCAGCTAAAGCACCTAATATAGGAGCTCTATTAATAGCACCTGTTAATGATAACATTTCTCCAATAAAGTTAATAGATAAAGGAGTACCTACATTACAGAAACTTAATATAATAAAGTAAACTGATAATAATGGCATATATGTTATTAAACCTTGGAAATAATGTATTAATCTATTATGATATCTGTCATATAATATACCTCCTACTATAATAAATAAAGCAGGTGATACAAAACCATGAGCTATTGATAAGATTAAACTTCCTGTTATACCTGTTATACTATTAGATAATATACCTAATATACAAACAGCCATGTGAGATATAGAACTATAAGCAATTATAACTTTTAAATCAGTTTGTCTTAATGTTATAATTGATGTATATATTATAGTTATAACACATAAAACATAAACTAAAGGTGTATATAAAACAGTAGCGTCTGATAAAGTAGGTAATATTAATCTAATTATAGCATAAACAGCTAATTTTAATATTACTCCAGCTAATAAAATAGAACCAGCTAAAGGAGACTCAGAGTGAACAACAGGTAATCAAGTATGTACTGGAGCTAAAGGTGTTTTAACTGCAATACCTATAGATATAGCTAAGAATAAAATACATTGTAAATCAATAGATAAAACTAATAAGCTAGTAGCTTGGTAGTCAGTATTATCTAAAATAACTTCATATAAAGCAATAGCTAATAACATAAATAAAGATGAGAATAAAGTATATATTAATATATAATCAGCTGCTTTATCTTTATTAGCTGCACCATATAAACCTATCATAATAAATAAAGGAGCTAATGAAGCTTCAAAATAAACATAGAAAGATGTCATATCTTGACACATAAAGTTAATTAATAATATAATACCTAAATTTAAAACTAATTCAAAAAATAATGTACTACGTATATTATTTCAATTAGAAATTATTGATAAAGGTATTAAATAAGCAGTTAATAATATTAATATATCAGCTATACCATCAGTAGTATAGTATACATCAATATCAGATCAATCATATAAAGTAGGAATAGCAATTAAACCACTAGCTACTAAGAATATATGTTTAGATATTCCATTAACTATTCTAGATGATAATGATGTAAAAGCTGTAAAAAAGAAATATAATAATGTCATAATAATTTTTATTTTAATATTTAAATCATTTATATGACTAAAGGGATTTGAACCCTTAATTTAATTAAATAATTAGACCTAAACTAACCGCGTTTACCATTTCGCCATAGTCATACGGATGCAACGTGATTCGAACACGTGGACTGTTAAGTCTTAATAACTCAAGTATTACGCTTTAAACCACTCAGCCATACATCCTTACCTTTATATTATTATGAAAATCATAGAGGAATAATATATATTTTATACCCACCCATTGGGGGGTATATATATCTCCCTAAAAAGGGGAAGATATATTTATTAAATATATCTTCCTATATAAAGGATATATACCTACTCGATAATGGAGTAAATATATATATTTCCACTCACTATTTAGGTGGGGTATATAATATGAATATATAAATAGATATATATATTAGTATTAATTTTAATCATAGGCAGAAATAACCGTAGTATATTTTTACCTGATAATATTAAATTAATATAGAATCTAGTGTAAGTAAATAGCATCTTTAATATAACCACTAAATAAGATACAGAAAACGTAACTTTGTATCATACCTATAGCGAACTCTAAAGTAACAATAGCGATAACTCCTATCATAGGGATGAAACCACCAATGAAACCTACAATAGAAGATCCCATTAAGTTAAATATTAATGAACCTAAAATTAACATTAATAAGTGACCAGATAAAATGTTAGCAGATAAACGTAAACCTAAAGAAATAGCTCTAGAACTATAAGATAAAGTTTCGATTAAAACTAAAACAGGAACTAAAGGTAAAGGAGTACCAGTAGGAACAAATAAAGCAAAGAAACCTAAACCATGAGTAGATAAACCTATTAAAGTAACACCTAATCATAAAGTTAAACTTAATGAAATAATAGCTATTAATTGAGCTGAGATTGCAAATGAGTAAGGTATCATTGATAATAAGTTAGCAATTAATATAAAGTTAAATAAAGTAAATATTAATGGGAAGTAATAACCTCCACGTGCACCTATTTGGCTTTTAACCATGTTTAATATTGTATCATATATAGCTAATATAGCTACACCTCATCTGTTTCATCCTAAGAATGATTTGTTTAATAATACATTATATCCATATATTATTGATACTACTAATGCTAAATATATAGCATAATTACTTATACTTAAAGTTAATATATTATTTATTGTAAATAATGGTTTGATCTCAAATTGATCTAATGGTGAAAATATCATTTTTCATAATTTTATTCCCTATTTTTATAGGGTCATTAATAATATATACCTAGGTCCTATTGGACCTGGTCATGTATCATCACCTTATTAAGGTGATAATGAAGACTTATACTCTTTAAAGAGTATAGGTATTATTATTGATAATATATAACTATCGATAGATAAGTTATAATAAAGTATTAAATAAACCAATAATAATCTCCTTTTATAAGAATAATTATAAATTTCCTACGAGGATATATAAAGATTTCCTATAAAAAGGATGATAATAGATATATATGATATCTATAATTATAGGTAATATTTATAATTTAACTATTAATATTCTAGCGATTAATAATCTTAATATATTAGGTAATAAGTATTTAGATATTATAAATACTAATATAGTTAAAGATAATATACCAAAAGTTAATAAGTGTAAAAAGTAGAAAGGAACTAATTGTGGCATTAATTTAAATTAAAATTAAAGATAAATAAATAAATAAAAAACATCAGATTGGAGGGATTTGAACCCCCATAGCCCTACACCCAATGTAGATACGTTACCAATTACGCAACAATCTGGTAGATAAACCGAGATCAAGTAATATTACACTCATAAAAATAAATAAATAAACCAAAATTAATAAATAAAAACTCGAAATCAAATAGAACATTGAG